GACGGAAATTGTCTAGTATAGTAGGATCCAGGGAGGGTTTCTTGAGGAGGGGGTGCACCAACACCTCCTTAAAGGCAGTCAGAAATGCTCCCTCCTCCAAGGATGCAGTAACCATCGCCTGGATCCAACCACATGTCACCTCCCAAGCTGCTTTCACCAGCCAGGAGGAGCATGGGTCCAGATGGCAAGTGGTGGCCTTCACAGTCCCCAGGATCCTGTCCACTTCCTCAGGATCAATAGGATCAAACTGTTCCCAGATAACTGGGTAAGAAGAGTCCCCCGGTATCTCCCCAGACCTTGCCCCACGCTCAGAGTCTAACTTGGAACGAATCAAAGCGACTTTGTCCTGCAGATGCTCTGAAAATTCCTCCACGCAGCCCTGCAAATGAACCCCCAGATCCCCCTCACCAAGGAGGGATCTAGTGATCCCAAACGGGGCCGCTGGGTGGCACTCTGCAGACGCGATAAGGGCAGAGAAGTATTGGCGCTATATAAACTACACACACACACACACACACACAATACAATATTCCAATTTTATTTGGACCCTTAGTCTGTTTATAAATAAAATCTTGTTTAGCTTTTTGCTGTTTATTTCAGATTCTTTAAATTCTTAAGCTTATGATTAAAATTTTCTTTTGTTCAGGATTGAAGACAGATTCACCCAGCATTTTCAGACTTGTTGTTCTGAGGGTCTCTAATAGCTTAGAAGTAGTTAATGAGCGATTCCAAAAGTGATTAGAAAGTGAGGTTTGCTAACTTAGTAACCTTTAAAAGTCTCCGCCGTGACTGCAAGCAAGGTGGCTAATCTCTTCCTCTCCCAGCACTCAAACCTCCTGCTCCTGAGGAGGAGCAGCCGTTCAGAGCACATGGGAGCAATCTCCTGTTCTCTCCTCATCCAGAGGTTCCAAGGAACTGGTCTACTCACCAGTTTCTTGGTCTTGCTGCTTTCACAGAACTGTCTTCCGTTCACAGTACATCCTCTGGAAGTCCCACTTTTTTTCTCAGAAAGAAGCAGCTCCTTCCATCCCTCTTCATGGGACTTAGTTTCTAGTCCTCTGATTCTTCTCTGAACTTGTTACAGTTTTTCTGAATCCTATGGAGCCCGTGGGGTTCTCTGAGCTTGGTTCTTTTCTTGCAAGCATTTCATTACCCGGTTAGGTAACATCTTCAGTGCTAGAATGAGGTGCAGTTTGCTCTCTCTGCCCTGTCAGTGTTGGTGGGGGGGGGGGTTGTTTCTGAATCCTATTGAAAGTGAGATGCCCAGAACTAGACTAAGTATTCGAGATGAGGTCTAGTAACAGCAGAACTATTACTTCCTCTCATTGTATTAATTTTTTGCACTCACATCACACTGTTGCCTCTTACTTAGCCTTTCGTCAATTACAAATACAGGTAGTACTCGGTTAACGAGCACTGGTTCAGCAACCAAAGTTACAATGGTGCTGAACAAGTGGTGGTTATGGCTGGTCCTCAGAATTCCAGCTATCCCAGCACCCCCACTGTCACCAACTTATGATGGTTGCAGTGTCCCATGGTCATGTGACTGCAATTTGCAACCTTCCCTGCCCACTTCCCACAAACAGAGTCAATGGGGAAGCCAGCAGGAAAGGTTGCAAGTTGCTTAAGTCTCCCCCCATCCGCACACCCTCCCTGAGCCTTGCTGCACTTGTGCTGTACCTCCCCAGTCACCTGCGTACCCCCTTGTTCTCTCTCACACCCAGCAGCTGCCAATTATCTGCCTGCTAGCCTGCTTGCAAGCCACCTGGTACTTGCAACTTCCTGCTGGCTTTCCCACTGACTTTGGTTTTTGGAAGCTGGCAGGAAGTTGCAAGGACGTTCTCACTTAGCAACCCACAATCCTCATTTAACTATGGCAACGGGGACTGCAGGGATTGCTTTGCTAATCAATGCAGTGACATGACATCACACTTTATTGCTGTTGTAACTTGAGGACTATCTGTACTATTTCCAAGCCAGGCATCCCCCATCTTATTGGGCCTTTGATTTCAATTTCCTACTGCAGAATTGCATTTGTATTAACTTTTATTCTGTTACTTTCAGCCCATTATTTTAAAGTCAGTGACTTGTAATCTTGGAAAGCATTCCCTCCCCTTTTATGAAATCATTAGTAAAAATAGTGGAGGATCCAGGACTGGAGCACATGGTATTCCTCTTAATAGATGAAGAACCATTGATGAATCTTAGCATGATTTAAATCAAGAACCAGCTATATATCCACTCGTATCATGCTATGGGTCATGCCATATGTCTGCAGCATTCCTAGTGTTTTTTTTTTAAATCAAGAATTAAGTCACCTTCCCCCTATGTTCCTGCTACTTATGTTCTCTACTAGTTAGGATCAGGTCGAAAATAGCTGGTGATCTTGTGGTTTCCTTCCCCTTCCAGAGGAAAAATATGTCAGCAAGAAGAAAGACTGATCTCGCAGTTTGTTGCCCAAAGATTCCTCTTTGAAGAATCATCTAGTTTGCTTTTGGAAAACATAATCTAGATGATCCTGTTGGTTAAGCAGTCAAAGACACCAACACAGTATTGCTTTCATTTATTCTATTTATTTTAACTCTGATTTTCTCCACAGCATTGTCGTGTTCACTTGGATTTCTGAGCAAATGCAGATACTTTAAACAGATAGTGCAAGCCTCTGAATTTCATTCATTCATTCATTCATTCATTCATTCATTCATTCATTCATAATCTCATTCTCTCTATCGCTTCTGCTCCTTTTGAGTAATTGGTCTTTGCCACAGGAAACAGAACACCTTAGACCAAAACTAACAGATAATGTGAAATTCTTTACGTGAGTAGTCTGAAACCTTACTATCTAGGTCACAGCTTGATGTCATTTTGTAGATTTGGTAACAGCTTAATTGTTCCACATGACACAGAACTATATTTATTACATGGGTGTTTGGCACCTTTTGCTCAGGCACCTGCATTATTTAAGAGAGCTGCCCCAACTTCTGTGCCATATAAAGCAGTAAACAATAGTCATCTTTTAGATTTCCTTCCTCACAAGTCTTTGAATGCCTGTTTTTACCTTGGCTGAGCTTTCATTCAGAGTTCATACACTGAAACGAACAGCCAGATTTTAGAATGTTGATATGTTACTTCATCCCACCACTTTAACTTGATAGTGCTATTCCCTACTCTACTTCACTCAAATTCTTTGAAGTGATATATTGGGCCTGTCCTAGAGAATTTTCTAGATAAATTTTCTCTATCAGATATAATTGTGAGACTTTTCTATAATTCATCAGTATCTAGAAATTAGTAATTTCTGCACCCAGAAAAAGTAGTTCACCATATGAAATAACTTGAATCTCTTCAACCCTCATCAGCCACAGTAACTGTCAGCCCTTTGGGCAAGGTCAGAAAACAGGAATTGCTAGGAGTCGTGGAATGTACTTTAATGCATGAATCTGAAAAGCTTGTCGAAGTTCCTCTTTACTTCAACTTATACCTTAATGCAGTTAAGGCAGAGAGTTTATTTCTCATGTCTTTTGCTTTTCCAGGACTCAAATATATTTTGTGTAATAGGTTGTATTCTGCTTGCATATGCTAGAGTATCTATGATCCTCAGCTCGGTTTCTGGTGTGGTATGTACGTGCGATTCTTGGTAAGGACAAGGTCTTCTGAAGGTAGGCAGATCCCTCAGGACAGCCCACTGGAATTTACAAACGTTGGCTTAATCTGAAATTGAGAGATTAGGAGGGCTGCTATACTCTTCCTTCTAGACATCTAACAGCTGAAAAGAATGATTGTTTCTCTGGGTAGAAAAACAATTTCCCTAGCAAGAAACTTCAGATTTTATGGGATGGGGGTTAAAAAGAATATTAGATTCTTTGTTGATATGGAACACTTCAGGACTGCTAATGGATCTAAAAAGGAGAACACAAAAGCCATGCAAAATAGCTATTTGTAAAGCAGTCTATTAATATATTGTTTGCAGCAACTTCAGTTTCACTTGAAAACTTACATTTTTAGATTGCCAAATCCCTAAGGACTGAAGATAATTCTAGTTTTATTATAAATTATATTCTACAACCAAAGCTTAGCATAGGAGAAAGTGAAGAAATACAATAAAAAAACACCTGCTTGTGAAAAAACGTCCTCCTAGACCTACCATAATGAGATGTTACTGTAACTGAATTCAATGCCATTTTTCTTTTTGCACAAAGAGAGAAGATAAATAAAACAGTATTTACTGATCATGCAAAGGCATGTCCTCTTTTAAAGAAGCACAGTTCTGCAGTTTTCAGCCAGAGATTCTTAAACTGCAGTTGACTGCTGTCTCTTCTTCAGCTGGCTCATTCTCTCCAAATACAGATGTGCTGGAAACGGTGTTACTCTGTGACCATCTTCTCTACATTTGGGGAAGGAGATGCATCAGCAATAGTAGCCAAATAAATAAGATTTCTGTGCAATGTGTGCTGGTGCCTGTAGGAAGAAAGCAAAGAATGAAATGTTGGTGAAAATTCATTACAACAAGCAGTGATTGAGTTTTCAGTTTCTCAACAGCTGCTAAAGACTTCTGTAGCCTTCTCACTAAAGATTCATCCTCTTTTCATAGGGTTACAGTTGATTACTACTCTAAGATGCTCATCCATACTTCTGATGACCTTCTACTTTAGTTTCCCAAATTACCACCAATTCCAGTAGAATGTAAGCCTGTCTAGGGTTAATTGCTAACCTCCACCTGGAATACTCTTTTTACTAACTACCATGCTGTCTAATTAAATTCCAGTTTGCTTATACTCATCCAGCTAAGAGTTCCACAGCTTTATTGGGATGTGTAAATGAAATGAAAGATAAAACTGAGTGCTATCTGCACTATCCACCAGCAGGTATGAGTAGATATTAAAAAATATTGTTGACAAGATTAAACTCTTACAATGCCCCATAAATTAATGACTGTGGGATAAAGCAGCCATCTCCCAGCATTATATTCTGATACCGGTGTTCCTGATAGGACTGAGACCAAAAAACAGCAGGCCTAGGCCCTTTAGATGATCCAAGAATACCATGGATTGTATCAGAAGCTCCTAAGAGAATCAGTGGATCACACTATCCCATTCAATTTCCAAAGAAAGTCACTAATCTAGTCTGATGCTCAGCTGCCATAGGTCTAAAGTACTGGAAAAAATGACATGCACTATTATTGCCCAATAACTAAGACAATATCTCACACCACAATCACCCTGCCATATGTTAAGAGATCATCTCTGAAGTCCAGCCCTCACAGATTTCAGAAGCCTTGGAAGGTAAAGATCAGCAGTAGGTGTCAAACTCAAAGCAAGTAGCAAAGGCTGAAAACAACCTGGATTGTGTGATGATTGAGATTCAGTTCAGAAGAGATGAATCCAGGGCCTGCTAGGACTTAGTGAAACTGAGTTTGGACTCCTTCAAATCAAATAACTGCACAGGCATACGACAGAGTAACTCCACCTTTGAGTGTATAAAAATTATCATGTAAAATAGATTTCAATCAGGAAAAGTACACTTCCAGGGATGCCACCTCATAATTTGGAGCATGTTACATCAGGACCATTCTTCACCTGAAAGGATGGTGATCAAATTTTTACTAACAGCATAAGCTGAGGTCCAGATTTAAATATACATCTAGCAACAGGACATACTGTCATTAGCATTCATCACGGTCATTCTGACAGAATAAAAGTACTTACTGCACACATTCTGCAGCTCTTCCTTTATTCTGATACTCCACAATACAGCGAATCAGCTGATCATTTTCTTCTAGCAGCTGAAAATCACAATGGATAGATAACATTGCCTGGAACTGCAGCATGTTCATCAATGCTTAATAACTTGGTTATGCAGGAGTAAGCAAAGATTCCAGTTGCATTTTATGTTCATTTTGGGTTACTCTAGCACGGTCTTTCTTAGCCTGGGACCATCCACTGCTGAATTGGATGGTTGCACGTGCTTGCTTGCACGTGGCTTAACTATGTCCTCGTGACCCCAAGGCTTAAACCAGACTCAGTCCACTGACTAAATCAACAGCAGCTGCAAACCCAAATCAGGATTCATCATGTCTCAGCCAACAAGACGGTCGGACGTGTTGGCTGGGACTGATGGAACTCGCTGCAGCGACTTCGGTAAGAGCGCGGAGCTCCATATGGAACACGATAATCCCCACCATTCTCCCTGAATGCCTTCCACGTTGGAGACAATCGCAGGAAAAAACCATCACGCCGCAGACGGTCCACCCAGGCTCCGCGAACGAGACAGCGGGAATTCTCGGGGCTAAGCAACCCCGTTTTAGAAACGGTCTCGCCCCGCCAGCCCCAGAGGACGCAGCTGGGCCAGGCCGGAGGGGAGCGGAGGGAAAGCCCCGGGGCCTGGGGCGGGCCCGCGCGACAAGGCGGCGGCGTTTCCGGTTCCCGGCGGGAGGTCCCGCGGGGTCCCGAAGGGCAGCTGTTATGGGAGCCGTCGTCGCTCACCCGTCGCAGCGTCTCTTGGTTCACCTCGGCTTTGCCCCGGAGTCGCTCGGGGACGAAAACCACCGACATGGCGCGGCAGCGGCGAAGCCCCACCGCCCAATCCCGCCTCAGGGCCTGCCGCTCGACCGTCGGACGCGCTCCGCTGCTCCCGCGCAGGAGCGCTCCCCCCGCACGGGCGCTAGAGAGAAGCCGTAGAAGAGTTAACGCCGATCGGATGCGTCGCTCCCGGGTAAGCGAAAGGTGGGCGGGGTAGAAGCCCCGGCCTGGCGATACGCACGGAGCGTAATCGAAATCCGGAAATGCCCCCTCGACATCATCCGCGCCACGCCGGGTGACGCGACGATTTATGGGCCGAGAGATGCTCCGCCCATCGGGGTTTGAGGGGTTCTGCGGCGCGGCGGTTGGGGCCGGCGGGGGGAGTTCGGCGCAGCCCCTCGGGCCCTCCCCAGCCTCGGCTTCGCTGCGAAGGGCACCGCTCGTGTTGCTTGCGCGGGTGCGCTAAGGACGGCCGTTTGGACCCGGGCTGGTGGGTCGGCGCGTCACGGTAAAAGGCCCGGGGAGAGCGGTTCCCGCCGCCTCCTTTCCTGGTTGTGGAATCCTTGGGGTTCTCTGGCTCGGTTGTTTTCTTCAGACGCTTCGTTACCCGGCCAGGTAACATCTTCAGCGCTGGGAGGGAGTGGGGTGGGCTCTGCTATCTACAGTCGCTTGCCCTGTCCGTGCTGGGGGACTTGTTTTTTTTTCCTTTGGTGGCTCCTTGATTAGGGCCTTGTTTTCTGCTTGATTGTTTGCCTGGGGTTAATCCTGCTTATCCGGGTATTGCTGCTGGAGGGGATGTGTTCTGGTCTCTTTGTTTCCTTCTTAGCTTTTTTATTGTCTCTTTTGAATGGTGGGTAAACGTGGTTTATCTCTGTGTGT